CTCTTTTTCAAACTTAAGCTCAATGGATATAGTTGGTTACACACATAAATAGTAGGAGTATTATTAACCTTTTATCATCTCCACCCATATATTTATGCATGCTAGAAGACATCTCCATCTGTACATTCATACCAATTACAGTTATGGAAAAATACCTCCCATGGATGATAAAGAATCCTTGCCAATGAAAAACATGGTGAAGGTTGTAATTAAAAACAATTTTTTTATGTGTGAACCTGTGAATTACACATGTGTAAACTTAAAGATGAATGTAGTAAAAATAAGCTTGTTATATATTTTTACTTCAATATGGATATTCAATATGACTTATGAATATTTATTTATTTTTAAGATATATTAAATTAATACAAATTGAGATTTTGTGCTGATGATTTATAATAAAAAAAACTCATTAATTTTTTTGTATTTTGTTTTGATATAGAGACTGTAGTGGAAAATAAGATGCATCCTCCAGAAGGTGAGGAGGAATTAAAATCTCCAAAAGGTGATACAGCAAAACCACCAAAACCTGAGGCTACAGGTAAAGCAGATGTTGATTTGTTAAATACAGTTTTTACAGATCTTTGCAATTTTGTTATAATAATTTTTATTTATGGTATTTCTATTTTCTGTATGATTCTAGATATCACAAAATAAATTCTTGTGTGCCGTAAGCTCGGGTGAATTTACAGTTAATTCTGTCATAATCCAGATGTGTTTTCTAAGTTTCTAGTAATGTACATACAGTTTTGAGCTAATTACAGCTTATCTCGTAAAGTCTGTTAGTGTATTTTTCTCATTTTGTGCTTATTAGTTTTTAGAATAAAATCTGGCTTTTTTTTTCTTCCCCTTCTTTGTTTTATGCACTCTCAGATTTTTTGATAATTTAAAACTGAATAGGTTTTAAAGAATTTTTACTGTGAATAACTGGTCTCGGCTTCTTTGTGAAACTAGTTCAATTTTTCCCAGTTTCTGGTTTCAGCTGGTATTAGTTTATGTTAATAACCTTGTAGTCTAAGGGAAGTAATTTAACTGCTTGTTGTATTGAGTGATCATTTAAGTATTTGCTTGGTGCCAACTTCAAATTCAGTAAGAATACTTTACAGAATGTTTACTTAGTGAAAAAGATAATTATGTAATATTTAGAAAAGTCTACCTTGAATATCCCTACCACCTGGTTAGAACATTTTGTTACTTTGTGTACCACAGTTTTGCTTCGCTTTCTAATGCTTTTCAGTTTTTCATTATATGATAGGCTCAACCTTATTAGTTCTGTAAGGTTATTTGGCTTGGTGTTTTTGATACAGTTAATTATAATTTGTCCTTTTTCAGTCTAAAACTTCTTGTCTGTTTTATTCAATGATAAAACTGATGAAATAGAATAAGTTCATTTTATTTAGATTATCGTATTTCTTGTTTTTATGATTTGCTGTAGTTCACTTTGATTTTGTATTGTTTTAACCCTTTCCAGACAGGTCATGGGTCATCACGTTTGTTGTCTTGCATTCAAAATTTTATTGAACTACTATTTCATGAATTTATGTCAGTAAGTTTGGTATCAAACTGTAGGTTATAATTGAAATTTTAGTATTATATCTTACTCAGTTTCTTAATTTGAAAGTAAATATACAAAAAACAGTTAAACATCGATTTTTGTGTCACTTGGTGTGTTGAATGCAGCACTGATTCAAATTAGATGTTTGTGAAGTCAAAATACTAAGTCTATAGTTACATACCAATTAGAAACTCAAATTACAGATATTGACAAGCTAGAATATAAAATAAGAACGTATTATCTTTTCTGTTTGCTAAGGTATTGCTCATGTAATCAATCAAACAGTGGCACCCTGCCCACCTTTTTCCATTTTTGGAAACGATCCATTATATACACTTATTTCTGTATATAACCAATCTGAAGCTCGGAATTGCCCCCTAGTGGCTTTCTTAGCTATTTGAACGTCTTTGGATGCCATTTCAAGGAGGTAGATTGTCTTTAGTTTGCTCAAAATTTCATATTTTTTTAGACTGAAATACAGCATAGTTACTGAGGTTGATAAATTATAATGGAATTCTGTGGTATTGGTATAGTAATTTGATTTCTTGGTAATACAGCTGTGTATATAAAACCTAAAAAAATTGTCATATCCTCCATATGCAAAATTTTAAAAGGCTTAGCAACCTAAATTAAGTAGCAACTGAGTATAAAGGTTGTAACCAGAAGAGATAATTGTTTGCTTTACTTCTTTATTTACTGTTCTGTGTCTTAGGAAAAATATGTTTGAGAACTTATTTCAAAATAGCAATAATCTATATACATACTTAATGTATAATAACTGAAATGTGATTATTTTACAAAATACTAGTCTACTAAAACACAGCCAAGACAGGTCACTTTGTAAAGACTGAAAGTCAGTTTTATATTATTGGATACGGTATCATGAGTGTACATGCGCTGTGTCATTGTAACTTCTGTACTGTTAGCCAAGCATGGCTGAAAGTTCAATATAATAAAAGTAATAAAGATATATATATATATATATGTATAATGTTATGAGATTTAAGCTATTTCCTCTAAACATTTATGTTTCTGTATTATAATTTGTGTTCATTCAAGAATGAAAGAGGCACAATTTATATTTATTTCTTTTTATTTTAATGTGGTTACGAGATTGGTCAAATCGACCAAACCTTTTCATAAATAAATAAATAAATAGATAAAATATAGTTTATTTTTTAAGAAACATTTGATAACTATTTGGACATTATAAAGATTTCACATTTGAAATTTGAAAATTTTTGATGCACAAAAGTATTTTTATTCTTAAAATGAAAATTACTTTGCACGTTGGACAGGAACACGTGAAAAAAAAAAGGTGTGAGAAAAACATTGCTTTGTAAACCTTAAGACTCAATAAAAAAAAATTTGATATTTTGTGTATGAAAGCATTGTAGTGTTTACTGATAATGTACCAGATTTTGTTAACATACGCATACTAATTTAAAAGTTATAGCATGAAAACTATAACAAACACAAAATGGTCACGAGGTTGGTCCCAGGGACCAAGCCCATGCTGAAAGAGTTAAAGGATGATAATGCCTATTATAGATATTATAATAATAATAAATTAATGTACAGTTTAATTATGTTTTTCAATGTTTTTGTTTCTTACTGTTATAGCAGCAGCAATTCCATCAGGGTTGCAGAATATTTGTGTACATGTGTACAGTTTGTGCTGAAGGATTTGTTGTTCTCATGTCAGATATCCACCTCCATCTTAAATTTCAGGAAATCGGCAGTGTTGCAGCTGTGAAATATGTAGTTGGTTTTTAATTTACTGGGTATTATGTCATCACAGCAACATGTTAAATTTCAAATCCAGTTCTATTTAAGTGTCAAGTCAGTGTAAATTTGAAAACAAACTGTACCTTATGCACATTATTTCTGATGCCAGCATTATATTTGTTGAGATGGGTGGGTTATTTTTATTTACTACTTAATAGGTGGAACTACATGACTTTATATCTACCTTTGACTATTAAAACAAGTTTTGGCTCAATTACACTCTCTCATACACTGGTTTCAGATTTTTGGAAAGTTTGGTGTCTGTACTCGGAGATTTTAAACATTCTTCCAATCTGTGCTCTAAAAATCCTATTTGCCACAGTACTGCAACATCACTGCTTGGCATTATGTGGGTCATGTTTAATTCGAATTCCATTCCCTTTTGTCTTGCATGTGTAATTTACTCATGACATTTTGTGAGAAAGAGAGGCTTATTTTTATCATATTATAGCTAATGATTACATATTATTCACTTGAATTCCTTTAACCCTTGGAAACATAGGAGGGGTTTCTTGGATCTACTTGCATGTCTTTTTTTATAGCCACTTCTCTTTTTGTTTAGTTAAGTGATTCTTGTTTTATATTAGCATCAATTAACTATCCTTAAACAATGCTTCATTCAAGAAAATTAAATGCTCTGCATTTATTATTTTATCTACAAAATTAAAAGTTGTGTCACTCATCCATTTTTGGGTTAAATGTCAAAATAATTTTATATCCATATTTTATAACTAGGTTTTATTACTGTTCTTATTTATAAGTCCATCTTGGTTACAGTAGTGAAAGCTCAGCTTCAGCTAACACTAGAAGAATTTAAAGAGTGTCCTTTATTTCTTCCTTATACAGTTAGCAAACAAGAGGGGAGGCTTTAAAAAGTATTTTGATCTTGTATTAACAAGTTAAAACTTTTCTCTTTGTACTACCAGAAAACACTGATGGTCCAGACTCCTCTAAGAGCAAAACTGTGAAAAAAGGACTGAGTGAGTTAGAAAAGTACTGGCAGGCAGTTAAGGATAATCCAGCAGACTTTACTGGATGGACATACTTGCTACAGTTTGTTGAACAAGAGGTAGGGAGAACCTGCATTTAAAACACTGATTCACACCTTTTTAAATTATTAATGCAGGATTATTATTTTTTTACATAAATTTTGTATTGTATCATTTTTATTGAAAGAAGAATAACAGAAGTACATAGTATGACTGAACTAATTAAGTGTTTAGTGTTACACCATTGTCTGTTGAGTAACATGTATTTGAACCATTAGTAGTAAAAACTATTAGGTTTAAATGTTATACTCCTGGTGATGTCACACATTTTTTTACTACAAGCTTTGAACACTCAGCTTGTTTTACGTGAGGTCTTGTGTACACCAACAATGTTAACAAAGTAGTTCACAACCCTAATAAGGATACCATTCAAGTTTTTTCTTTCAAGTTATCTCTAATTGTATATATATAAAAAAAAAGATGGGGAGGTTAGACATTCATTTTCACAATAATCATAAGTTTCATTTTCTTCTAGCATTATTGTTCCAAGATTTTATTGTAAAAAAGACAAAATATCTAGCTAAAATGCGTTTCAGTTTCTCGGGACTGTATTTTCTAAGATGAGTGGAGACATCTTATAGCCGTTTCTCTGTCAAAGGGGCTGCATCAGGAAAGCATGCTTTTATCTGAGGTAACTGTAGGCGTGTTTGAAAAAAAAATCATATTTCTGAAATTTCCCTCAGAAAGAAATACTATGTTGTATCTAAAGCATTTGTTTGACTTTTACAGAATGACTTGGTGGCTGCTAGGAAGGCTTTTGATAGTTTCTTCAAATATTATCCATACTGTTATGGTTATTGGAAAAAATATGCAGACATGGAAAAAAAATGGAATACTGCAGAAAAGGCTGAAGAAGTAAGTTACATCCTTGCTTCTTATAACATTTTATGTTCATTTAATTAAATTTGAATGTATTTTCATTACATTGGGTTCATTAGTAAATGCATATGTCATAATTAGAATAGCTTTAAGTATACACTTAGAAAGATTTCATAAAGAAACATTTAGTCAATAATTTGTATTTTAAGGATTTTTTTCTAGTAAACAAGTACTGGACAGCTTGTAGAAGGCAGTTTACTTGAACTTGTAGAAATTGTGGTGCACATATTTATAACTAAGTAGTTTAAATTAAGATCCTTCTAATATTTTGTTGTAGAGAAAGACTAGTAAGATTTATGTTGACCACTGTTTAAAATATCTCCTGGAATTAGTAGATAAGATGTCGATGATACTTTGTACTTTCTCTGGAGCTTGAGACCATCTATTTGTAATTTATTTTGACTCTTTGGTTCATATTTTCAGGTATTTGAGCAAGGATTGAAAGCCATTCCCCTTAGTGTTGACTTATGGATTCATTACCTCAACTTCTACAAAAGTCAACATAAGAAAGATGAAGATTACTATACAAAAGTGAAAGTGTTAGTGTAATTTTTTTTGTGTATTATGTGTCACTGTATGATATATTATCAATTTTTTCTTTTTTTTCTTCTCTCAAATGACTTGTAATGTGATCTATGTTTGTTGTGATAGTGTACTTGTAATGCTATTATAATAAAAACTTCTACATTGACAAGAAAAAGTCTGAAATATTGTAAATTGAAAAAAAATCATTTTTTGTACTGGAAGATTAAACTTAAATTAAAAAGATGACATTTAACCCTTTCTGCTCAACTTAGTGTTGGTAATGCTGCAGAATTGCTTTTCACAGCATGACAAAACGTTAACTATCATACATTATATAGTTAAATTCATAATTTTTATAAAAGTGCATTGTATATATTATTTATTTATTGTCTTGATATAATGGTAAATTACCATGAACACAATGTATTCAACAAATGGCAAATGTAATCCATCATAATGTTGAAGAATTTTGGGTTTTCTAATAAAAGCGTGGAATTTGACATGTTTTTTGAATATGACACTGATCATTTTGGGATAGGGGCCACTTAATTCTGTCTAAGATAGCTGCCAGAAAAGTTATATTTCAAGACTTTGTATTCTGTTATGGCTTTGTGGGATTTGATTAAAACAAACTGGATAAATGTTTTAATGGAAACATTTAGCTTTCAAAGTAGCAGACACTTTATCTTTTAAATCAATATTATAATTCCAAAATGTCTGGATACTGGAAAGGTTTGCATTTTGAGACCTGATGTGCTGTTATATTTTTGTGGACTATGATGAATGTGGAATTTATATTTTAAGGCACACTTGTAGTCCATAAAGAAAACCTTAGCCTTAAAAACAAATAATATACATGTATCTTTTTTATAAGTGATTTCTATAGCATTAACATCATATATGCATACTAGTATAGAACCATAATGATGCAGACAACATTTTCTAGATTAATTAAATAATATCTGCTATCATAAAGAAAACTTTAATATTTAATAATAGAATCTTCATTGTTGTATTTTATTCCACAGGCATTCCGAACGACAACTCCAGTATTGTCATTAAAACTAAATAATATGGAATTTCCTTGCTTTTGAGCTTGTAAGTCTTCAAAATTGACCAATATTCTGTTTTTGAATTCTGTGTTATATATGACCTGCAGTTTCTTATCCAAGTTGCTCCAAGCATGGTGTGTGTGTGTGTGTTTGAAAACCCTACCAAAGTTAGCTCGATTCTTGTCTATAAGAGCCACAAACATTGCCAAGGCAGTACCATGCAGTATTTTATTTTTGTTGCATTCCACCTTCCTGAGGGTTTTGTGACTTGTTTCCCTGTACAGCAGTCTTGGGCATGCACCATGATATGCTGCTGCCTGCAAAATCATGTCATCTGCTTTAAGTTTGGATAGCAACAGTGTAACTTGCAATATCAGCGAGCATTCTTGAATTTGCTTGTTAGAATTAAAGTATTTTTTATGTAGGTTGGCCGATGCTTGGCCATATAAGAAACATTTGTTTTGAGTTATTCATATTGACACAGCACTGAGCTGAGTCATATTTGTGAATTTACTGCTATCACATGGGTTGCCCATTTTTTGGACCTCTGCAATTTTGTGTTGTTGATACTTGTAGTGCCAACTTTCATTGCATTACATGAATGTTTCAATAAAGCTACCATCTTTATCTAGCTTAGCTACTCTGATGCTTACTGATAAGTAACCAAGCTCATGGAATATCATGATATTTCTAGCTAAATTCCCATAGCTGGAGTCAACTTCAACATTTCTCTACTTTATATTAATAGGTAGACACTCTAGATTTTCTAGTGTTGTTTTCTGGTAAATTTCCACCTGTTTCAGTTAGTATTAGAAACCAGTCCAGCGGCCTTGGGACATATGGATCTACTGTTTTGCAAGACTCGGACAACTTACAACTAATAATTTTATTTAGTTCTATAAAATAATTGCCATTGTTTGAAAAAATAATTTAAAACCAATGTAATGATTAACTACTGATAAGCAATAATAGTGATGATAAGTAACATTATCCATATATAAAATTTGTGAGGTTTGTATGATTTTTGTCAAATGACTGAAATTATACTTGAAATATACCTATATTTGTATTATAATAATGATATAGTTCACTTCTATAATCTGTATCAATTTGAAGCCACTTTGTAAAACAAATTCTGTCTCTGTTGGTTTTAATGTTAGTAATGTAATTCAAAAATGCTAGATGGCAGCCATTTTGAAAAAAAAAATGGTTTTGTCCTATAACCCTTTCGAGATGTGTCACAGGTCAAAACCCATGCCATCTTATTTGGTGACTTGCATTCAAAATTTTACTGAACTACTATTTCATGAATTTATGTCAATAAATTTTGTATCAAACTGTAGATTATAATTCAAATTTTAGAACTATACATTACTCAATTTGTTAATTTAAAAGTAAATATAAAAACAACTCAGGTAAACATCGATTTTTGTGTGTCATGTGGTATGTTGAATGCAGCACTGGTTCAAATTAGATTTTTGTGAAGTCAAAATATTAAGTCTGTAGTTTCATACGAAGTAGAAACTATTTACAGATATTGAAAAGCTAGAATTTTAATTAAGAATGTCTTATCTTTTCTATTTGCTAAGATATTGCTCATGTAATAAATCAAACACAGTGGCATCTCACTCACAACTTTCCATTTTTGGAAATGCTCCATTATATACACTTCTATATGTATGACATGAATTACCAATTGGAAGCTCAGAATGTCTTTCTAGTAGTTTTCTCAGCCTTTCTAACCTTCCTTCCGCCTATTTCTTTCTTTTG